GTTCTGGTTTAGTCCTGGTTCAGTTCTGGTTTAGTCCTGGTTCAGTTCTGGTTTAGTTCTGGTTTAGTCCTGGTTTAGTCCTGGTTTAGACCTGGTTCAGTTCTGGTTTAGTCCTGGTTCAGTTCTGGTTTAGACCTGGTTTAGTCCTGGTTTAGTCCTGGTTTAGACCCGATTCAGTCCTGCTTCAGTTCTGGTTTAGACCTGGTTTAGTCCTGGTTCAGTCCTGATTTAGACCTGGTTTAGTCCTGGTTTAGACCTGGTTCAGTTCTGGTTTAGTCCTGCTTCAGTTCTGGTTTAGACCTGGTTTAGTCCTGGTTCAGACCTGGTTTAGTTCTGGTTCAGACCTGGTTCAGTTCTGGTTTAGTCCTGGTTCAGTTCTGGTATAGACCTGCTTTAGTCCTGGTTTAGACCTGGTTCAGTTCTGGTTTAGTCCTGGTTCAGTTCTGGTATAGACCTGCTTTAGTCCTGGTTTAGACCTGGTTCAGTTCTGGTTTAGTCCTGGTTTAGACCTGGTTTAGTCCTGGTTCAGTCCATATACGGCGCAAAAGTTCAGCATCTTAACAGTTCTTTTGGTGAGTAAATTAAAAGTGCTGCAATAGTCGTGTCATGTTTTACATTTTAAATACAGTAATATTGTAATGTAACAAATGACTTTGAAATGACAGTAACAAGTCATAAATAAAACATTACAGTTTTAAAGTCACTTGTCCAACAGTGGATCTTGTAAAGTTGTTGTAAACTAGAAGTCAGTTTCAAAAATAAATGCAGCCTTTCATTTACAGATCTCATCTAAATATAAAATGAACTGAACTTTGAACTAGTTCATGAAAAGTGTGAACTTGCACAACACTGGTGTGTTGTGTTGTTGTGTGTGTGTGTTGTGTTGTTGTGGTGTGTGTTGTGTTGTTGTGTGTGTGTGTTGTGTGTGTGTGTGTGTGTGTGTGTTGTTGTGTGTGTGTGTTGTTGTGTGTGTGTGTTGTGTTGTTGTGTGTGTGTGTTGTGTGTGTTGTTGTGTGTGTTGTTTGTGTTGTGTGTTGTTGTGTGTGTGTTGTGTTGGTGTGTGTGTGTTGTGTTGTTGTGGTGTGTGTTGTGTTGTTGTGTGTGTGTGTTGTGTTGTTGTGTGTGTTGTTGTGCGTTCACCTGCATGTTGCGCGGTTTCCTGACGGTGGCGCTCTTGGTGGCGCGGCTGCTCTCTCCCTGGCTCTTGTTCGGGGGCTGTAGTTCGTAGAGTCCGGGCTCGGCGCTGCACTCCGGCTCCACCTTCAGTCCGTCCAGCAGAAGCGCGTCGGGGCGGAGCTTGTGCAGCTCCGACCTGAGCTCCGCCATGTGGATCGACTCCAGACTCGGCTCCGAATAATCCGACCTGAGCTCCGCGTAGTAACACTGCAGGTCCACCTGCTCCGCCTTCAGGTAGTCCAGAGAGTCCGACACCTGGGGGGACAGGTGGGACAGGTGAGACAGGTGAGACAGGGGGCAGGTGTTGATGCTTTTGTTCATTATTAAAGCATTTTCAGGGGAATGTTCTGCAGTTTTCACAGTGAAACATGAACAAAATATTTTATGATCGTCTGAAAACAAAGACATCTCAAAGTGTTCTTAATAGTGTCCTTACTAGTGTCGTTACTAATGTCCTTACGAGTGTCGTTACTAATGTCCTACGAGTAATGTCCTTACGAGTGTCGTTACTAATGTCCTTACGAGTGTCCTTACTAATGTGAGTGTCCTTACTAATGTCCTTACGTCCTTACGAGTGTCGTCCTTACTAATGTCCTTACGAGTGTCGTTACTAATGTCCTTACGAGTGTCGTTACTAGTGTCCTTACGAGTGTCGTTACTAATGTCCTTACGAGTGTCGTTACTAATGTCCTTACGAGTGTCGTTACCTGCACTACAGGACTCTGCACATGCACCTGTCACTGTTTGATCTCGAGTTTGTCAGGTAATAAAAATTCAGCGACAAATGTAAATATGTCATAAAATGATTTCAATATAAATGTAATGTAGCTGGGGACCGGTCAAAAGGGCATGTTTAGAACGATCTGGAACAGAACAAGTGTAAGAGACAAAGACTAGAATACACACATGGACCTGGTTTAGTCCTGGTTTAGTCCTGGTTTAGTCACAGACAGAGGGGTCACACTTTTCCACAAAAACTGAACTGGAGCCAGAGTCGATGGAGCCCAGTCGTGCCCGTGAACACTTCCTGTTTGGAGCGTGGCGTTAGCTCTGTGTATGTGTGAGAGGAAGCGTCTGGGGAGGGGGAGGCCGTACCTGGGAGATGTAGTCGTACACGGAGCCGGTCTCGTAGTGGGACTTGAACTCGTGGTGCTCGGACTTGATGTAGTCCAAACCGCTGATCTCCATCCGGATCTGCTCGTGGGCCAGCTCCGCCGTGGACAGGGGCTGGATGGACGACAGGTCCACAGTCGAGTCCAGGTCCACGGTCGAGTCCAGGTCCAGCTCCTCCGGCTCCGACTTCACGCATGAGAGCAGCGCCAGCGAGCTCAGCGTGGGCGACGGGTCCGAGGTCAGCAGGGCGTCCAGGGGAGGGGCCCCGGACAACAGGTCTGAGTCCAGGTCGGCCATCGGGAAACTACAACACACAGACATGTCAGAGTGTAACACCGCATGACACAGGTCAGAGTGTAACACCGCATGACACATGTCAGAGTGTAACACCGCATGTCAGAGTGTAACACCGCATGACACAGGTCAGAGTGTAACACCGCATGACACATGTCAGAGTGTAACACCGCATGACACAGGTCAGAGTGTAACACCGCATGACACATGTCAGAGTGTAACACCGCATGACACAGGTCAGAGTGTAACACCGCATGACACAGGTGACACAGGTCAGAGTGTAACACCGCATGTAGAGTGTAACACCGCATGACACATGTCAGAGTGTAACACCGCATGACACAGGTCAGAGTGTAACACCGCATGACACAGGTCATGTGAACACAGGTCAGAGTGTAACACCGCATGACACAGGTCAGAGTGTAACACCGCATGACACAGGTCAGAGTGTAACACCACATGACACAGACAGGGGGCAGCAGAGGGCCACAGGTCAGAACAGTCCCAACGACCCTGAGCTCAGAGGATCACTCCACACTTGGACCAAGTTCTGCTCTTGTACCCTTTGGCAAAACACTTATATACACAGATGTTTTTGTTCTTCTTTATGACACATTTTTTGGCTGATGCGACTTACAGTCCAGAAGATACAATATTATTAAGCTCCACTGTGTTTTTAAACTCCACACACCTTCACTAGAATCATGTGGATCATTCTGATCTCCACTGAACTAAAGGGAAAAGGAAACGACCACTTGATGACATCACAAGGTGGAGCAGAGCGTTTGGAGCTTTGGAGATGTAACAGACTCAGAACAAAGAAACATGTGAACGAAACAAAACATTCACATGAACTTTAGAACATTAGAACATTAGAGCCCGACTTGAAGCTCAGAGTCACGTTGGTGTGATATCGGAGCTTTAATCAGTCTCCCTGTTTAAAACCAGAACTGTCTCTGTGCTGAGGGAGCAGGGGATCATGGGAAATGCATCAGGACTGTACCTGTGAGGGGGCGGAGCCTGTAGGTCAAAGGTCAATCCAACAGCCTGAGGTCAGCACCGGAGCCTGAGGACAGAGACACACTGAGCACGTGCAGAACGCAACAGGGGACACTTTACGATGTGACGCACGACTCTGTCTGCAGCGACCGGACCAGACCGGACCAGACCGGACCAGACCGGACCAGGACCGGACCGGACCAGACCGGACCAGACCGGACCAGACCGGACCAGACCTGGAACTGGACTGGACTGGACTGGATCTCTAACTGGATTTCTAACCGGACCTAGAAGTTCTCTCACTACAAAATCAGACCTGTCACTATCAAAAATTTTGAAGCACGAGATCTGACTAAGAAACATCATGACAACAATAATATAACAAGATAATAACAGGAGAATAACAGGAGATAACAGGAGAATATTACTGTATGTAAATGTATTTATATTTATATTGTTTGTCTTATTGACACTTTGCGTCTCTTGCTGTTTTTTATTACTACTTATTTAGAAGTTTATTCCCATTTTTATATATCTGGTACATCTGATATAAAAGTGTATTGAACAGATACATATGTTCTCTAGTTTATCAAACTGTTGACCTTTTTTCTGTTCCATTTTTGGTTCTAAAGTTCCATCAGTTTTAAACAGACCATGAATGAAACATGGAACAAAAATTATTTCCCAAATTTCAAAGACCCAAAAATCATGTAAATAAATGTTTGTATTTCATCATATCTTGTGTTATTCCATCTTTGAACTGTTGATGAAGGGACAGGATAAAAAAAAAAAAAAAGTATTTAAAATGATAAAAATGTTCTTGGAAGGACTGACATATTTTATAGAAATAGTTTCTTTCATTTTGAAGTAATATTAAAGTTTTCAGAAGAAAAAAGCCACAAATGATGTAAAATCCTGCACCTTCTACTTGTTTGTACAATTTTCCCTCCGTTACTTTTCCCTCCGTTACCATGAACTTTCTTAATAAAAAATCTCATGAGTCAAAAAGTCAGAGGTTTTTCAACCTAATCTTGTACCATATGGTAGAAAACTATATGAAGCAAATATTCAAACCAGTTTGTTAAGGATATGGAAGTGAGAACCAAGAGTTATCACTGTTTGGATTTATTGAACAAAAAGTGCTGCATATTTCATTCCCTCCGTTACCGACATGAGTTTTTACATTTTTTGTCTTGAACTTGAAAGAATCTCACAGGTTTAACTTGACCCTGTTGGAGTGTAACTCTTTCCTACATTCTGATACTTTACTTATTTCAATAGTTCCTCTAGTTTCTGAAGAAGAGACATTTGAATGTCAAAAATCTGACCCTGTTTCCTCCGTTAACACTTGACCAGACACATTTTTACTTTTTGTTATTGTAAAATACATGACTCCTGTGTCCAAGTCTTTCCCTTGT